CAGATCTTTAGTAAATAGATTTAAACACTCCCTAGCCAGGAGTTAATTTGAAGTTATCGCCCCATAGCCAAAGACGATAAGTATCGGACGAGAACTTAAAAAAGAGCTATTCAATAAAAAACAACGAATTGAAAAGTCACCCACCGTAGCATAGAAATGAACGGTAGAGGTAAGGACGAGGTGGCCGAGTAGGCGGCAAAGCACGAGGATGGAAGAACCAGCCCATCGTCGAACCAGCAGAAAGGTTCATGCAAAGCCCTCGACCAACATGTTTAACTTCGGTACAACGGATCTGAACGGCAGACCAGATGATACGCACATGGGAGAAGTCGTCATCCACGTTGGACAAAAGATGGTGACGACATGAGCAATAGCTACGCAACCTAACAAGACAGTGTTGGTAGCAACGGTGTACTCACGGAAGACCAGGAACAGGCTTGAACGGGAGACGACGGTGCGAACAACCGTCGTCTCCAACGGCAACCCAAGCAAGCCTACGGCTACTAGAACAGAGATACCGCAGTCACCAATGACCCGACTCTCGGTAACCTACGCACACGTAACGATAAAAAAGCAAAACCGTTAATAAAATAGCCGAACCTACGGCAGCCATAGACCGAACCCACCGGAAGAGGAACTCCGGGGACTCGAGAAAGCAGAGTAGGAGGGCTATGAAGACCCACCTTACGAGGTGGGCAAAACTACAAGAAAATAGAGGCAAAGCATTCAAATGATCCTAGGGCAGTGCACCCGACTATTAAGGACAAGATGAAGAGAACACGGACTCAAGACGTCCTGTAAGATCGACCCACTGGAGCTACGAAAAATGATCCAAGACGATCATGGCCCAGACCGATGATAATTTGTGTACCACACATTATTCCAACTGAAAAACACCTGATGAATTCCACCAAGGGAGCCTTCACGCTTCTGAATACCAACGCGCAATTTACCACGAAAAGACATTGCCAAAATCCGTGGGTATTTCCAAGCTACACGACCAGCCCTGCTGCATACGGCCTAAACTACCCCACCCAGAACACAGAATACGGCTGACCTGGAGTCCGAGGTAACCAGAAGAAGTCCCGGCAATACCAGCGGAACGTACTATAGTTAACATCTTCTTACAAATAGTTCAGCCGAAAAGTACAGCTTAAACAGAACCTGAGGGACGACTTTGCAAAAGGCACTGATAACTATCCCCACACTTTACATGAGGTATTACACCTTTTTGGACAAACACATCAAGAGTAACACTCCCACGACAGTCCACTTCCCCGGAAGCTCCTTTGCTCAGACAGCACAAGGCGGGAGAGGACAGGTGTGGTGGCAGAGGAAAAGGCCGACGGAAACCGAGCCATGATAAAGAATACTGGAAAGAGAAAGAAGGCTTTTGCCTGCCACGATAAAGGACATCCAGCATGCACTGTCCTGACAAAAATAAAGACAAAGATTAAAGACAAAGATAAAGACAATAAAGACAGACAATGACAAGTCTAGGTCGAGCAGCGTAGACAAGTCAAGCACGTCGAGCAAAGAAAAGCTCTAGTAGCATTCAAAGGAGAACACTAGCTACTATCAGCAAACTGACAAGATAAAATGACGACAGCATTGACAACCCTATAGAGGATGATGCCGACTCTGACATCACACAGTCAGATGAGAGAAAAGTCGAAAAAGGCTTCGTTACGTTCGACGTACCCGCTGTTCGCCGACGGAACGAAGAACCGAAACGAAGAAACCGACTAAGACAAGGCATTGTCGCCCACACAAAAGGAGTTGGAACGACATAGATAAGAGAGAGATCCAGCTACTGGACAACCAGTCCACTTTGGATCTATTCTGTAATAAAGAATGGTTACCGAATCAGGAAAGCCAGATCCGTCCATTACATTGAAGAGTACACGGAGGCAAGTATGAAGGTCCAGCACACAGCAAAGCTGTAGTGGCCAAAACAGAAGAGTAGGTTCGATAAAGAGGAATCACGAACATCTTACTGTTAAGAATGTCCGCAAGAATTGCAACTTCGTCTATGACTGTCCGAAAGGAACTCTACACAGTCATTCAACCAGGCCTACCGACGTAGTATACGAAATGAACAGGTAAGGATTACACGTTTCATGACCCTAGAATGAAGGCACTTTGAAACTGTCGCCGAAAATAAGGAAGGCTTCAGCAAACCGACAAGTTAAAGCCGCATCAAAGGGCGAAGCTCTATATAAAGCAACTCGTCTATCATCGATAAAAGATTTCCGATGGGCGTTTATGAGCAATCAAATCGCAATCTCTCCACTGTGACCGTAGATGACATCGACACGGCACAGCTATATGGCAAGGATATTGATGGCGTTGAAAGCCGAAGACCACTCGAACGAAACACCGAACGCAGTGGCAGGAGAATGCAATGAAAGTGCCGAGACTTTTGCAATTTACAAAAGGATGCGTCTAACGCATGGAACATTATTCTTGTGGCAGGAATTCCGTTCCTGTTAACGCTAAGCCGGTAAAATCGATTATACAACATTACACCACCTCCCAACAGGAAGTAGAAGGCCACAGAAGCCCAAATAGGGTCCATTGCAGGGAGGGAACGATTGCTTCACACACTGTGCGGTCGTTTCCACTCCGAACCCGTTTCTTTGTATTGTTGATTCCTTGTTGGGTGCCTTTCCTTTGGCCCCTGCGCTGGCACTATGGCTTTGGCGCTTGTTGTTGGCTCTGACAGTTCCGGCTGGATACTGTCGGCTCTTCTATCGACAATCCTTGTGGATTCTGCCGATGAAACTCTTACTGCTGCGTCGTCGACCCTTCCTTGGATCCGTCGTCGTCGCTGCCGTCGAAACTCTTCGTCGGCTTGGATGCAGTCTCCTCTCGATCCGTCCTCGGATCCTTCACTCGATGCGTCGTCGCGAACCCGTTGCGTCGTCGCGTTGCTGTCGATCCTTCGACAGGCTTCTCTTGTTGCTGTCAAGACAGTCTCCTCGCTGTTGCTGTCGATGCTTCGACAGGCTTGGTCTTCTATCAATCCTTGCGCTTCGACGGTCTCGTCGTCGTGATCGGCGTCGGCTTCGGCCGATACTCGCTCCTTCGCGTCGCGATCTTCCTGCTACCGATTGACTGCTTCGATAGGCTCCTCTTCGCTATTTCGGTAGTAGACCACTTTTTCAATAGTATGTTAGTTGCTCTAAGCTCTCTAGTTTACTTGCTATTGAGATACTATTGAAAAAGTGGGTGGGGGCTACCAGCTTTTACTACTGGCATCAAATTCTAGTACAGAGGTACAGGTTGAATCCCTAATCGCGAATCCCCAACAACGTGCTCCAGCACTAAACAACAGTAGGGCTATTTACTCGGGCTTTTGTCATGTAGATTACTCACAAAGACCTCATTGACGGCCTTGATCTTGATCTGTGTGTTTCGAGCTTGATCTGGCGTCTTGGCTGTCGGATTTTTGCCCTCGTGCTACGGCTTGATCTCAGCCTAAAATCAAGATGTCCAAAGCAAGGGTCATGACATAAATGATTCATGGATCAGGCTGCCCCCGCTTCACGCCCTCAACCATGAATCCAGCAACCGCTCTATATTCCTTCGTATGGATTTCTCTGTGGTGGCGGGTACCCATGGCCGTAACCACCGTGAGAACGACCCTGGCCATGGCGAGAATGATGATGCTGTTGTTGATGGTGTTGATAATCGTAGTGCCCATACGGTCCTTGGCCGTACATGTGGTGTGTTGCATAGGGATAATGATGACGAGGATCGTGTTGCGGTTGATGTCCATGCATGGGCGCATGCATTCCCCCATGCATATGCATGTCGCCGGGGTGCATGTGAGCATACGGATCCATGTGATGATGCTGTTGTTTCCGTTCTTCGTCTTCCTCATCCTCGACGTCGTCCTTGACAGGATGCATTCCGTTGTGTTTGTCAGCTTCGCGCTCGTAGTACTGCTTCTCTTCGGCCGAAAGAGCCTTTCATGCAATCATATTCCTTTTGTGTGAGCACATGTCGTTGATTCTCATACCACTCGAAGCCACTATACCGTTACTAGTACAACGTACCTTCCACGCCGTGCCCACCAATCTCGCAACGCTCCCCCGCTCCGATGGAACCCCAGTTTCGGATTGTTTCAGGCGTAGAACATGTGCCGAGAAAAACATGTTGTCTGTCAAAGCACGAGAGAGGAGATGTTCATGCATGCATACAATGAGTTACATTCACCAAGCCTTATGAGTCCCAGGTTCACAATATGGACAGACTTACATCCAGTTTTGTTTCTCTTTCGGTTCGAAGCTCTATCTGGTGGGTTGTATCGTGCCATTTGTTCATCGTATCGCTTTCGATCAGTTTTGGCTCTTTCTTCGTACTTTGCCTTTTCTTCCGCTGGCAATTCCTTCCATTGATTCCCGGTCGAAGCTACTAGGTTGGCCGGGGGCACACGCTTGAGTTGTGCATCTGAATCTGTACTTTTGAGGGCCTTCAAGGGGAATATGACGCAATTACATAAGAGAGGCAATCTTGTTTAGCACAAATGATAACTGGACCGTTGCTTACCTTTTCATTTTCCTTGGCAAGTTGGGCAAACCGATCCTGGACAAAGATATTGTAGGCTGAAAGAGCCCGGGTAGGAGCCCCTTCTTCCTTTCTCTTCCGCTTGTATGTTTGCTTGCGCTTACTGATGAAGGCCTTGAGCTTTTGGATTTCATTAGTGAGGCGTAGAACGTGTGTTTGCTTTTTGGCAAGCATATCAGTAAGAGCGTGTTCCAAAGGAGTGGAAGGTTGAGTTGTTTTGATGAGATGAGCAGTTTTTGCATCATGTTCATCTTCCTCTTCAGGAACTCTTTGCCAGTCTTCTACTATATCATCAGTGTCGTGCTTACTGGGTCGCTCCGTGAGTGCATGTAGATCATCTTCCTCTTCGTGAGTATGTGGATGATGGTGTTGGTGATGTACCGGTTGTTGCTGTTCAGGTTCTGGAAGCTGATGCTCGTCTTCCACATCATGACAGGGCTGTTCCATTTTGGCCGCATCAAGAGGGTTGTGGATTTCTTTCAGATGGGCCGGTGGTGGTGGCGGCGGCGGAGGCGGACCCACATCATAGTGCACTTCTTCGCTCATCGTCGCACGGTTTGACAAAAGACCACGACACACAGCTGCCACGGACTCGTCAATTCTTGGCGCTTTCAATTTTTCTCAGGGCAAGTCTCTGCAGCTTCGTGGTCACACAAAAAAGGAAGTGTTGAACTGACCCAACGCTTTCGATGCTTCCGTGGACAAACTCTCGAGAGGAGGTACCGGTACTACCCACAGTTATACGTGTAATACTACGGTAGTACTGCAGTTGCGATATGCACACACGATGTGATGTTTTATGAGGACTTTTTCCCATGTTGTTGATGCGCAGCCAAGATAACAATAATATTGCAAATTAGAATGATGAGCCAGCCGAAAAATGTTGAAGCTGACCCTGCTTATATTTCATCGCAGAACGTAGATTATATACCATTGCTCGTTGAAGAAAAGCCCAATGCTCCGAGATTGGCGTGCGTTCAAACATCCGTTGGATTAAACTAGACTAGCTACATGATTACATTAAACTGGTGGGCAACCGCTGCTAGCATGCTAGCTAGTACCAGGTACCGACGACTGAGTCTCGACTCGTCACTAACTCATCAAAGATCGACTCGGCACTCACTTTCGTGTGCTTCTGGATCGAAATTGGCACGGGGATGGACGAGGCCGCAAGAGGAAAAGTTTGAAAGCAGAGTGGAACATAGGCAGTCGTTAGGGGTACCGGTGTCATTGCAAACGACCGACTTCGAATGAATCTTCAATCTATCTTCTTGCCATCCCTGCCACCAAGGCAGTCAGTTGATCCGTACCATACAGTACTTTCCATGGCTTCACTCCAGTTGAAAGATTGGAAGCTGCACCTCATGTCATGTCATTTCGTTTCTCAATTCGAGAAATCGTTTTTAGCAGCACCGCACGCCAACCTCTACTAAGGGTACCGGTAAGCAATCGCAGAGTATAACATGTAACGTGTAGCTCAGCCTTAGCCTTCGTCGGGAATGAATGAGAATCGCAGTTCCCACGCACCCACGCATCATTGCTTTTCAACCAAAAGGCAAAGGGTGCATCTCTCGGTTCCAACCAAAAGGCAAGAGCTCGTGTGGAAGACGTTCCAGCCGTCAGAGTGTCAGGGAAAGTTTCTCCGATGGAATACGCTCTGTACTTTGGGCTGGTTACCTACCTACCTACCTTCCTTAACCAATGGCTGAACCGAGCAATCATTACATGTAATGCAAAAACGAGTGCAGCTCGCAAGACCAAGATCAGGTTTCATCCCACGCAAGCTCCACTGTGGCTATCTGTGGCTATGGTACCGGTACTGTCTAGCTAGCTAGCTAGTAGCTACCGGTAGCTACTGTACCGTATCTGTAGGTTGTTGATCGGCGTGTGGGGTGACCCCCGGCTGTCAGTTGGACAATCCCCCGAAAAGGCCCCGTTTGATCTATTATACCATTAGCCCCCACATTTAATTGCTTAACTAGCTAGTGCACGTATTAAAAGTTAAGGGTATGTTTCACTTTGACCACACAACTTTCATAATTTCTGCTGTTTTGCGCTGCTGTTGCTTCGCTGCCCTCTGCAGTACGGTACCACTACCGGTACTATTACTCATAAAGGTCGTACGATTGGAGAGGTGGTCAGGGGATCATGGCAGCGCAAAATCCTTCGGTAAGGACGATGCTTTGCTGTTGAAGGGCGTTTGCATGTATTGACAGCTGTAGTTGGATACCTCCGCAATTGCATCACTGTCCGTAACGTTTTGGGGGTGGTTCCACAGAAATCTAAGGTAGCAGCCACGGGCTATTCGCGTTTGTGTCATGCAAGTCCATGGGAAAGAGATTTGGGCAACAGAAGAGACGTGAAACGCAATCTACCCCTCATTATCTGTTGGAGACTATAAGCTTACTGTCTTTTTGTTGTTATTTGCGTCATCGCATGTGTTACACACACCTTCAGGAAGAACAGCAGGGTTCCAATAATGCGGCTGAGTTCACGGTGATGATCATTGCCAGTGGCCCGCTGCGAAATGGTGGCTTTGTTCATGCGGTTGCCGTCACACAGCCTGTCCAATCTTGGACCGTGCTTCGCAGTCAAGACGATTTCTATGCTGTCAGTGACGTTCTTTCTCAGTTGCTACCCTCTGTTCCAGCTTGTCCTGTCATAGTAGACTCGGGTACCGATGTTGTTTCGGTTGTCAATGCACGAAACGAGCTGCAAAAATGGTTATCAGCAGCCTTAACCCATCCTGGTTCCACAGAAACCTTGGCGGTGCGAAACTTCTTGACATATGGTGCCAACATTATTCTCCCACAGTTTGAAGGGGTGTCATGGACTAGTTTTGACGCAGAAGGTGCTGTCGTCCCACCTGCAAATTCCAATCATCAACAGGAGACTAGCTCTACCAGTTCTGGAGCAGCGGAAGGTGGAAACCATGGTGGTGGTGGTGCTGGCGGTGGGGTTGGAAATCTAGATGATATGGAAATGGACGACATGTTCCTAGCGGAAGACGACGGAGGCGGCCTGGACGCACAAGACGACACGGATGAGGACGACGAATACATCAGGCCATCGGTGCGTTACAAGCCGACAGACGAGGCAATAACTGAGGATGACGAACTAGAAATGATGCAAATTGCTGCCGAAGTGGAAATGATAGAAGACATTGGTAGCTTAGCCCAGAGCCTCGGGGCTTCACATTTGGGACGTTCTTTGCAGTTGCAGGCAGAAATCGCTACTCGTGACAATCCACAAGATATCAAAACGCAACAAGCTCAATTTCAGGGAGAAGGACTTACACTGGGAGGCATCGGCTCAGCAGGTGGACGCTCTGCGGTTGGAGGAATTCACAGCGCCATGGAAAATGCTGAACCAGGAAGCTCGGCTGATCCCTTTGGAAGCAAAACTCCAGAATCAGCCCCGCGATTGGATTCGTTTAAGATGATCAAAGTAATTGGGAAGGGATCATTTGGTAAATTTTGTCAAGTTTTCTGACACAGCAAAATCGTATTCATTTTGGTGGGATCTGACCGGTCGGATTTTGTTCCTCTCTTTGCACAGGAAAAGTATTTCTCGTCAAGGAACACAAGACGAGTTCATTGTACGCACTTAAGGTTCTACGAAAAGACAACATCATCAAGCGCAATCAAGTTGAACACACCAGAACTGAAAGAAGCGTGCTGGGATACGTTAAGCATCCCTTCATTGTTGGAATGAACATGGCTTTCCAGTCCAAGGACAAGCTTTATTTCGTATTGGACTACTGCGCCGGTGGAGAGCTCTTCTTCCATTTGGGAAAGCTGGGGAAATTTCCGGAGGCTCGCGCTAGGTTTTATGCGGCGGAAATAATCTTGGCCATTTCCTACTGCCACCAGCTCGACATTGTTTATCGTGACCTCAAACCAGAGAATGTCTTATTGACAGCAGAAGGCCACATCCGTCTGACAGATTTTGGGCTCTCGAAAGAAGGCATCAGCTCCAGTTCCAGTGGTGCCAACAGTTTCTGTGGAACTCCCGAATACCTAGCGCCTGAAATCTTGAACCGACAAGGCCACGGCCGGGCAGTTGACTGGTGGAGCCTCGGAGCCCTGCTGTACGAAATGTTGACCGGGCTGCCACCCTTTTACTGTCAAGACCGAGAGCGTTTATTCGAGAAGATTCGAAAGAGTGAATTGCACTACCCTCCCAGCATCCAACGTCCCGCCAAGATGATGCTGAAGGGATTGCTGACGAAGGATCCGACTCGTCGCCTGGGCAGTGGCCCGTCCGACGCAGAAGAAATCAAAGGCCATGAATTCTATTCGGATATTGACTGGGTCAAGCTTGCCGCTGGCGAAGTATCCCCACCATGGCGCCCTCAAATCAACGGCATTCTGGACACGAGCCAGTTTGACAAGGAGTTCACAAACATGCCGTTTTGCAGCCCTCACAGCATGCAGGTAAGAGTTGTGCTTTTGCTGCGCTTTTTCGTTTGCCTTCATCTGTTGTGTTGCTTAAATTTAGCTGACGACTGGTGTCCTTTTCATTTCAGAGGATGCATGGGTTCGGAGCTACACCGGCAGACAACCATTTTGAAGGGTTCACTTTCACAGACAGGATATTGCAGGGACCAGGCGCCAAGGCTGGCAATTAGTGGCAAGGGCTACAGTGATGCAGCTCATGTTCCATCCATCCACACCCCTGGATTCGTTGCGAGCACAGACACGAACGGACCTGAAGCTGGCCATCATGCTCACGTGCTCCGCGCTTCGCAAACATAGGACCGGAAGAGACCGACTGCATAATCTTCTTCTTTCATGATCTTCATTCCCGATTCGAGGATCAAGCGACCTACATCTTGATTGTACACACAGCCCTTACCACCAACCGCAGCGGCTACGTTGGCTGTCCCGTCTTGGTACAGCCCAAGCAATGGGTTCGTAGACCTGCTGTTCTCCAAGAGCAAAACCCGTCCTTTTCCATTTGTAGATGTAATATGTAGTGATTTGTTTGTAGCATCGTTAGCATGCAGAAAGTGACTTTTCTTCGAAACTTAAATGCACAAGAGTTTGTGAAGCTTACCTGTACTTTTCACGACCTGTCTCATTTCGTTTAGACTTCTCTTGGTCCCTTCGTTGCCGAAAACACAAAGACTGAATGTATCCACGACCGTATCAAACGATTGTGTTCCAAAACGCCTGACAAGGTCCGAGGTTGCATCGGCCTGGATGAACTTGACCGGTACACTCTTCAGAATTTTTGCTTCTGCCAGTTTTGCTTCGGCCTCGCGAAGCATGCCAGGAGAAATGTCTACCAACGTCAAGGATGTTATTCTATCCGCTGCGTACTTGTCCAGGTTCAAGCCTGTTCCCGCACCAATCTCTAGCACATCCCCTCGGGCTTGACTGATAAGCATTGCTCTGGCAGTCTCAATGCCAAGCGCAGACGCAGCCTGTCCTCCATCGAGGTCATTGTACGTGGAAGCATATGTGTCGTATGCTTTTTCTGCCTCCTCGGGGGATAAAGCAAACGACGGCTGGTTGAGAAGAAACGTTGATGCTGTCACTTGGGAGACGCGCTCGAGTAATTGTCTTCTACGAGAACTGGTCGTGGCGGCCCTGCATTCTGCTCCATAGGCGAACACCCCATTCCACTGAGACCACCATAGAAAAGCAATGAAATAGAACATGCAACACACTCTTTTCAGGGCCATGCTATCAGATACTGATGGAACTGTGGAAGAAAGATCATGCACTGTTGAAGAACAGCGAACCATGACAACATTCCTGGGACGGCAGAAATTGGACGGCTCTCAAAGGTCGTTCTGGTTCTTAAAAAATGAGCCACGACGTTTTCAGTGAACTGACGTCATTCTGAGCAAGTGTGAGTCCTTAATTGAAGACTCGGTAATTTTTCCATGCATTTATGAATTGAGCGTTTCTGATCGTTTTTTTAAATAGCAAAAACTCTGTTGGGCCACCACCAGGAAGGCCTCATCATGCGACTGTTAGTCCCGGATTCGTCTTGCTATGATCAAAGTCGCGTCGGATCGCTGAAAGTCGTTCACAAAGTTGCGTACGAGTCGCACGCGACTTTGGTACGACTTTCCAAACGACTTTCAGCGATCCGACGCGACTTTATCGCCATACTTACAGTAAACTTGCGCGACTTTCAAAGTTGTGTGAGAAAGTCGCACGCGACTTTGGCATGCGACTCGCATGCAACTTTATAAACAACTTTTGATGCGACTTTATGGATCCTGTGCGACTTTAGGCCAATTTTGGTGATTTTCAGTCGTATGAGCGGGCCTTCCAGGACCGTCCGACGGTTTTCCCTCACCTTTAGAGACTGACACAACTGACTCGACTCAAATCATGGTTCTTTCTAAGCAAATGTTGAAGATTTAAGGGAATGCTTAAGGAAATGTTGCAAATACAAGGGAATATTTAAAGGGAATGTTTATTTATAGGAATGTTCATTTGTGATAAGAAGGGAATGTCTAAGAGAATATCGCTGTACAGCACGTGATCGAAATAAGGGAATGTTGAACACTGAAGGGTATGTTTCGAAGGCTTATTTAAAAGAGAATTTTTATTAAGGAAATTTTTATTATTAGGGAAGTGTTTAAGGAAAAGTCCAAGATTTAAGGGAATATTTAAAGAACTTTTTTAAACGATGGTTGGCCGTGACAATTTCAAGTTTTTAAAAATTCTGAGTGAAAACCGTGGGACGGTCCAGGAGAACTGTCACTCTACCGGTACTCCAAAGCTAGAGTGATATGCGAATTAGTTAAGATGGACATTTCGCCAATTTATTCTCTTCAGAGGTGGATATCGAATATAGTACTTTTAAGGGGTGGAATCGATAGAGCACATGTTGTTGAGTATGCCATTAATTCCCTGCTTCATATGACACATATATTGAAGGAGTTATTGGAGTTTGAAAACATTCCCATTTCTGACACAAATTCTTTTACCTGCGTACTAAGATTTTACAGTGGTTGATTACGAAGGATCCTACGTGAAGGATCCTGTAAGATCCTACGTGGTAGATTAGGAAGCACTGCTAAGACTCTGGTACTGAGTTTACGTAGGATCCTACGTACCTACCTCTATCAATTTCAATAGTCTTAATTAGCAGCAGGTCTTATTATAGAGTGCATATCACTCTAGTACCAATAGAATGTATGCGACTTAGAAAGTATTAAAATAACCAATCATGTACCCTGGGTGGAGGGTGGGGCAAGCTTGAACATGAGGAAACGTTCCAATTATTCAAGAGTGGCTCCTGGGGCCCCAGTAGGAGCCAGCAAGAACAGAAACAGAGATCAGAGTCAAAGTGTGTAGCAGGTCCAATAGAGAAACTATAGTCGGAGCCATTCTTTCAAGACTAGCGAGCCATTGAAATGAGGGCATGGCTGTGAAGACATTGCCGTAAAGATATACTATGGGCCACAGGAGTTCTTGAATTCTTGTCACAAGTATGGCATATTTTCTTGGGTGAAGACTCGAGCAAGGAGTTTGCAGTTGCAGCAACCCTACTAGACACATCGGGGAGATTGCGCCCTTGGCCCTTAGCGGTTGAGGACTCAGTAATTGAATTCGGGAGCTGGGGAGAAGTGGAATTGGAATACAGGAGCAGCCAGTGAGGGTTGTGTCAACATGAATCATGAATCATGAGGCCTCAGGGGAAGACTGGAACTAGCTAGCCATGAGGGCAGCGGGAGCAACTCCCAAGCCACAAACAACTTTTAATATCGCATTTCTTGAATGCTGGATCTCTGAAGCTTTTAAATACAGTGGGGTGCGGTACGGTGCGGTGCGGTGCGTGCGCAGGTACAAAAATCCTCAACGGAAATCGATGAAATTAGCAATAGGAGCCTCTATGGGTGCGCCACAGCTGTGCTGGTTTAGTCGGATGGAAACAATGCTTTTCATCGTGTACAGTCAATCAGTACACACAGCATTGCAGCCATGTGACAATTTGTATATAGCTGAGGCATGCCTATGTGTTGCAGAGCATACATAGCCTTCAGCCTAGATACATTGGAATGTTCCAGACCAACAGTCCTCTCCTAGGATCTCCAACTGTGGATATCCTCTCCAAAAGAGCCAGTTCTGTCAACTGGAGTGAAATCGTGGTAATGATGTTTAGCTTATAGTAAGAAAGATAGTAAAGAAAGAGTAACCCTGAGACCCAGTAGCACCGTCAGCCCTGCAGTAGATAGAATCCTGTGTGGTATGTGCTAGGGCAATGTAACCAGCTCCCCAAGTACTCTGAAGCAGTGATTGAGTAGCATTGAACCAGCTCTCTTTGAGCTGGCCTTTCAGCCAGTGGAGGAGATCTCCATCACTAGAGATCTCCCTCCCAGCTCTTGTGTTCCTACAACTGAGCCTCATTGGCAAAGATTTATAGGATTAACATAGCCGCATAGCGACACAAGAGTGGCTACACGCAGTGAAGAAGAGTGGAAGAGTGGAACAATAAGAGGAAATCGCGACACGAAAATCGCGATCGTGCCGAAAACTGGAATCGCGACCGATTTCGACCAAACCAAGACAGTCACCTACCAACCAAAGGCCGCTCTACAAGCTACCATCATCAGTTGCTTGTTAATAGCCTCGGTTACCGCTGCCGATAGTGGAATAGGAGCACCATTGTGGACTTCGATTTTCCGTACGGAAGATAACGATTTCTTCAGTCGTGCATCGAACGAAGGTACTGGCAAACGAACCGGTACTCACACGGTACTCACAAGACTGACGTACTTCGCACCTCTTCCGAGTGTTCCGAAAGCAAGCCGACAGCTTAGATCCAGATCGATCCTCACATTTTCGATCGAAACACGAACTTCTGCTTGACTGGACTCAAGGAACCCGGAAAGCCTCGAAAGATACGGTACGAGGATCTGTGTCGATTCGTCGCTCCGTATCAAGTCTATCAGAGTAACTCGGAGCTCCACGGCAACACCTTTTGGTCTGTTTCAGAGTATTCCAAGGGCATCAGTGTGTCAAGCAGCCTTCAATTGGTCATCCACCAACAGTGCAAGGCTTCAAGTCACCTTTTGGATTTTCTGTGCTTGTGTTTGTGCAGTGCCTCTCCAGCCACACATACACACACCAACACCAACAATACTCATCCAACCGGTACCCTTCCAAGGAACAGCAGGCAACACCACTACACTACCACTACACTACTACACTGTCTAGCCAGCGCACCAATCATCATGGGCCGCAAGAAGAAGAAGCAACAGCAGGAAATGGATGCCAGTGACACCATGTCACTAGCAGCATCCAATGGCACCAACACACAGGACAACACCAACAGATCCACTACTGCAGAGGAACCAGCTCCAGCTCCAGCTCCAGCTCCTCCTGTCAGAACACCTGTGGATCCCCCAGGCTGTTTGTTACCACCACACCACAGCGCCATCCCCAGCTTGGCTTCCTCCAATCTAGCCAACCATGACACAACAACAATGATCAGCCAACCTTTTGAGCAGCTGACATTGGCATTGACAGAGGCATCAAAGCAAGCTGCCCTTGATTCCTTCAATGCATCCTCTTCCCTCCATGGCATACTATCCCATGGCTCCATTCCTAGAACACCTGTGTTATCACTCAAGCCCAGCCCTGAGATAAAGGCTGGGAGGACCGATTCAGAACCAGGCAGTTTGGAACAGAGCTTGTTGGGTGATGTTAGGGACCCTCTTGGTTATCCATTCCAACTGCATGTTGCCATGGATGTTGCCTCTCCACCTATTGGAGATGGCTACTATGACCAAGTATGGGCCCCCAATGGGGAGGAATACACCCACCAACCAACAACAATCCCATCACATCCCAGGGTAGAGGACACTCCCATTCAACCTGTGTCCTCCACCATCCAACCTACTGGAGTTGTCTCATCCCAGACACCAGTGTATTCAGCCATCCCTCCAATCAGCCAACCTTTTGTGCCTCTGGAGGAGCAGTCAAAGAGGAACTCCATTCTGTTGGGGATTCGCGATTAGGGATTCAACCTGTACCTCTGTACTAGAATTTGATGCCAGTAGAAAAAGCCAAGGAACCCACTTTTTCAGTAGTATCTCAATAGCAACAGTAAACTAGAAGAGAGCTTAGAGCAACTAACATACTACTGAAAAAGCGGTCTACTATCGAGTCGAAGCAGTGAAGAGGAGCCTATCGAAGCAGTCAACGAAACAGCCAATCGGTAGCAGGAAAGAGGAGCGAGTATCGGCCGAACGCCGATCGCGACGACGCGACGAGTAGAAGACCGTCGACGCTACCGTTGCAAGGATCCGAGGACGGATTACGAAGAGGATCGATAGAGACCAAGACTGTCGAAGCATCGACAGCAACAGTGAAGCCCTTCAGGACTGAAGGCAACGCGACGACGCATCGAGAGCGACGCCGCAACAGGAGAAGCCTGTCGAACGAACGACAGCAACGAGTGAAGAACAAGATCGGACGTCGAGACCGTCGTGCCGATAGGAGCTGCAGTCCACGACGACGCAGCAGCAAGAGTTTCATCGGCAGAATCCACAAGGATTGTTGATAGAAGAGCCGACAGCATCCAGCCGGAACTGTCAGAGCCAACAACAAGCGCGAAAGCCATAGTGCCAGCGCAGGGGCCAAAGGAAAGGCACCCAACAAGGAATCAACAATACAAAGAAACGGGTTCAGAGTGGAAACGACCGCACAGTGTGTGAAG